CATAGTACATTAATCACTTATGAAGCTAGGATAAATGTTTTTAAAATGTGAAAATAACTATAAACACAATAAAAAGTTAAAAGATAAAACAAAAAGTTGTAAGATGTGACATCAAAAACAAAATGTTTCAGGGAGGAATAAAAGTGTAGAGTTTTAGAATTCAAACTTAACCTGCTATCATTTTTACATGGACTGTTACATACAAAGGCAGCAATATATGAGCTCCATGGTAACCACAAAGCAAAAGCCCATAGTAGATACACAAAAAATAATGAGAAAGGAATCTAAGCATAACACCACAGAAAGTCATCAAACCAAAAAGGAAGAAACCAAGTGAAGAAGAAAGGAATCAAGAAGAACTAAAACATAGACAAAAAAAAAGTCAATTAACTATTTACCTATCAATAATCACTTTAACTGTAACTGGTAACTGGACTAAATTCTCTGATCAAAAGAGTGCTGAATGGATTTAAAAAAAAAGAAAAAGAACAAGAACAAGACCCATCAATACATTGCCTCCAGTAGACACACTTCAGATGCAAGGACATGTGGAGACTGAAAGTGAAGACATGAAAAAAATATGTTTCCTGCAAATCGAAACCTAAAGAAAGCAGGTATAGCTATACTGATATCATACAAGATAGACCTTTAGGAAGACTGTAATAAAAGACAAATATAGGCCATACATAAAGGTAGAGGGATCAATCCAGCAAGATGTAACATTTGTAAATATTTATGCACCTAACATAAGAATACCTAAATATTTAAAGCAAATACCAACATACCTAATGGGAGAAACTGGCAGCAATACAATAATAGTAGGGGATTTAAAAGGCTACTTATATCAATGGATAGATCATCTAGAAAGATAATTAATAAACATCAACCTTAAATGACATGTAGCACCTGATGGACTTATTTAGATATAAACAGAACATTCTATTGAAAAGCAGGAAAATACACATTCTTCTCCAGTGCACACAGAATATTCCCCAGGATGGATCAGATGTTAGACCACAAAACAAATCTCAATAAAATGAAGAAGACTGAAATCATATCAAGCATCTTTTCTGCACATAATGGTACAAAACTATACATCAACTGTAGGGAGAAAACTGAGGGAGAAATCACAAATATGTGAAGATTAAACAGTATGGTACTGACCAACCAATGGGTTAACAAAGAAATCAAAGAAGATATTAAAAATACCTTGAAACAAATGAAAATGGAAATGTAACACACCATAATCTATAGGATGCAGCAAAAGCAATTCTAGAGGCAAATTCATAATAATACAGGCCTACCTAAAGACACAAGAAACTATAAAAGAACAAAGTAAGGCCAAAACTAGTAGAAAGAGGAAACTAATAAAGACCACAGTGGAACTAAATGAAACAGAGACTGAAACCCTATTAAAAAAGATCAATGAAACCAAACCAGATTAATAAAAAATCCACACACCTTTAGCCAGACTAAAAAAAAAAAAAAAAAAGAGGGCTCAAATAAATAAAATCAGAAGGATAAAATCAGAAATGAACAAGGAGAAATAACATCACCACAGAAATACAAAGAATCACAAGAGAATACTATAAAAAATATTATAAAAAAAAAAACAAAAAAAAAAAAAAAAAAAAAAAAAAAGAATAAATTCGTAGAAACATAATCTTCCAAGACTGAATCTGACTGAGTAGAAGGATTACTAGTAAGGAAATTGAATCAGTAATCAAAAACCTCCTAACAAACAAAAGTCGAGGACCAGACAATTTCACTGGGGAATTGTACCAAATATTCAAATAAGATTTAATACCTATCCTTTCATCCTTTAATAGTGCTCCAAAACTGAAGAGGTAGGAACACTACCAATCTCACTTTATGAGATTAGCATCACCCTGACACCAAAAGCAGACCCCCCCCCCAAAAAAAAAATTACAGGTCAATATCCGTAATGAACATAGATATAAAAATCCTCAACAGAATATTACCAAACCAAATCAACAATGCAATAAGAGGATCATATATCATGATCAAGTAGAATTTATTCTGGGGATGTAAGAATGGTTCAGCAGCTACAGAACAATCAACAGAAATACACTGACAAAACTTAGAATAAAAATTATATTATCATCTCAAAAGATACAGAAAAAGCATTTGACAAATTCAACATCCATTTATGACAACAACTCTTACCAAAGTGGGTACAGAAGACACTCAGCATAGAAAAGGCCATGTGTGACAAGTGCACAACTATCACATTCAAGGGTGACAAGCGGAAAGCTTTTCCTTTAAGATCAGGAACAAGACAAGGATATCCATTCTTACCACTTTACTGCAACACAGTGTTGGAAGTCCTAGCAACAGCAATTAGGCAGAAAAAGAAATAAAAGGTCTCCAAGTTGAAAGGAGAAGTAAAATTGTCACTATTTGTAGATACGATTTTATATAGAGAACACCTTACAAATTCAACCAAAAAAACTGTTAGAACTAATATATGAATTCTGTGAAGTTATAGGGTACAAAATCAATATAAAAAATCTATTACAATTTTATACATTAAGAATAAACTATCAGAGAATTAAGAAAACAATCTCTTTTGCAAATGCATCAAAAAGAAAAAAAATAGGAGTAAATTTAACTACGAAGGTGAGAAAATTTATGCTGCAAACTGTGAGACACTGATGAAACTGCAGAAGACATAAATAGATGGAAAGGAACTATATGTTTGATTGGAAAAATTACTTTGAAAAATGTCGTATTTCCCAAAGCAATCTACAGATCCAGTGCCATTCCTATCAAAATTCCAATGGCATTTTTCACAGAAATAGAATAATCCCAAAATTAGTATGGAACCACAAAATGTGCCATTATCTTGACAAAAACAAAGCTGGAGGCATCATGCTGATTTTAAACTATACTACAAAGCTGTAGTAATCAAAACAGTATGGTGTTGACATGAACATATACATAGAACAATAGAACAAAACAGAGCCCAGAAATAAACCCATGTATATATGGTCAATTAATCTACAAGGGAGACAAGAATATACAATGGGGAAAGGACAGTCTCTTCAAGAACTGTTGTGGAGAAAACTGTGGAGAGTCACATGCAGAAGAGTAAAATGGGACTAGTACCTTACACTATACACAAAAGTGAACTTGAAATGGATTAAAGACTTGAATGTAAGACAAGAAACCCTTAACTTCATAGAAGAAACCAAAGGTGATAAGCTCCATGACAATGGTCTTAGTGGTATCTTTTTGGCTCCTACTCCAGAATCAATGGCAACAAAAGCAAAAACAAACAAATGGGACTACATCAAACAAAAAGCTTCTGCATACTGAAGGGAGTTTCTCACTAAGGAATGGAAGTAGTTATCTGCAAATCCTGTATCAGATAAGGAGTTAATATTCAAAATATATAATGAACTTCTACAACTCAATAACAACAAACAATCCAATTAAAAAATAGGCAGAGGCATTTTTCCAAAGAAGACTACAAATAGCCAACAGGTACATGAAAAGACGTTCAACATCACTCATCAGGGAAATGCAAATTATATCCACAATGAGATATAACTGCACATCTGTCAGAATGGCTATTATCAAAAAGATAAACATGATACAAATAGTAGGGAGGTTTCTCAAAAAATTAAAAATAGGGGTGCCTGGGTAGCTCAGTCTGTTAAGCAACTAACTCTTGATTTAAGCTCAGGTCATGATCTCATGGTTTGTGAGAGCGAACCCCAATTCAGACTTTGTGCTGACAGTGTGGAGTCTGCCTGGGGTTTCCTCTCTCTCCTTCTCTCTCTGCCCCTCCCCCGCTTGTTGGCACATGTGCACTCACTCTCTCTCAAAATAAATAAACTTTAAAAATTTTTAATTAAAAATAGAATCACTATACAATTCAGCAATTTCACTTCTTGCTATTTACTGAAAGAAAATAAAAACACTAATCTGAAAAGATCTGTGCACTCTTATGTTCACTGCAGCATTATTTACAGTAGCCAAGATATGGAAAGAACTTGTCCATCAGTGGATGAATGTATAAAGAAAATGTGGTATAGGGGCACCTAGGTAACTCACTTGGTTAAGTGCCCGACTTCCATTCAGGTTATGATCTCACAGGTCATAGTTCAAGCGCCATAGGAGGTTCTGCACTGACACTGCACTGACAGTGCAGAACCTGCTTGGGATTCTCTCTCTTCTTCTTCACTCTCTCTCTCTGCTCCTCTCCCACTTGTGCTCTCTCTCTCAAAATAAACTTTAAAAGGAAAATGTGGCATATATATGCAATGGAATATTATTCAGCCATAAAAAGAAATGAAATCTTGCCATTTGTGACACCATAAATGGACTTCAAGAGTATCATGCTAAGTGAACTGAGTCAGACAAAGACAAATACTGCATCATTTCACTTATATGTCCAACCTAAAAAACAAAATAAATGAACAAACAAAACTCGTAGACACAGAAAACAGATGGGTGGTTGCGGGGTGGGGGGTTGGGCAAGGAACAAAATCCATGGAGATAAGAAGGTAGAAATTACCAGTTACGAAACAAACAAGTCATGAGAATGTAACGTACAACATGGGGGCTATAGTCAATAATATTGTAACTGTGAATCTGAAAGTTGCTAAGAAGGTAAATCCTCAAAGTGTTCATTATAAGAAAGGAATGTAAATTGGTATGGTAGCAGATGGTAAGCAGATGTGATGTGGTCATCATTTCACAGTGCGTAAAAACACTGAATCATTATGTTGTAAACCTGTAACTAACATAGTGTGTATTTCAATTGTACTTCAATAAAAAAGTAAACAAATAAAAAGTTACAAGATTAAAAGATTAAGTAACTAATTCAAAGTCACACCATCAAGTAGGAGAGCCAGGATTAGAATCTATACCTTTGTCACTGGGGAGCCAGAAATCTTTCTACTACATTGTGGCTCCCACCAAACTCAGCTGATTCATGAACTGAAATCTTAATGACTGGAAGACAATCTCACCTTATTGGCAACAGCATTGACACTTGGCCGTGCATCAAATATAAAGATTTTATGAGACTGAGCATTGGAGTCCATGATAGCTTGAAGGTATTTTTCATCTTCTTTGCTTCGCTTTCCACTCACTCCTACCATAGGCTGGCTACACCGAGTGATTGTGGCTTGACTCTCAGGATGAATCCATGATAAAACCTTAATGGGAAAAAAAACCAGTGACACATCCTTTTTTTTTTTTTTTTTCCAGTGACACATCCTTTATATATTTTTCTGTTTATAATTTTTCTCAAAAACATTACTCTATAAAATTCTGCTTTCTGAATTAGTTCCAAAGCCTAACCATGAAAGGATATACAAGGCTGCTATAAAAAATCATCACCTTTCTTTCAAGCCAACTCTGGCATATGGACAATTCAGTCTAATTCTTTAATCAGGTACTGAGTTATGAGAGTCATGATTATTCAGAAGTGTTGTCTCTAGGAAAAGATATATTAAAAGGGGGATTAAGTAAACCTCTTAAAGTTTTATTACTAAATTATCAAAACTGTCTAACTATAAAGTCTTCAGAATCTGTGAGTTTTGTAACTAAAATTATTTAAGCCAATCTTTTTAACACAGTAATTCATCATAAATTTATAAAGTTTTCTTCTTTCTAGTATCTGATGGAAAAGAGCAGTTATCACAATGACTAAAGAACATATAATAAAGAAATAGTGAACAATACAGAGCCAACTTTGTTTACAAGTTAAGAATTGCAATTCTGTGCAGTTCTTTATCTAATTCCCATGTCAGATTCTCCAGAAGCTTCTTTAAGTCTTTCCTCCAGTTTTCATTTTACTAAATAGCTCATTCTCTAATATCCCCACAAACAACTTGTTGCTCTAGCTAGTTTTATCCTGCATCCGTTCTCCCATTCATTAAGTTCAGCATCACGTACAGTACAAAAGCATTTGCGAAGTCTCATCAAAGCTTCATACTTACTGGGATACGGCCCCTTGATCTGAAGGATGCCACCCTCTTTAATTCTTCATCAGGAATATTTGCTGGCACAACCAATAGGGCAGGATAAGTATCACAAAGCTCATACCGCTCATTTATCTTTGTTATTCTCCAGCTTTCATTCGGAATTCCCTACATGTGAAATAAAGCATAGGACAAATTACTAAAATATTAAAAGCTAATGAAATAAAAGTTATCGTATTTAACCTCTCTTATCTCTACTCACTATCTCTTAAGTTGTTGGAATAGTCACTGTCTACTTTGTATAATGGCCAGGCTATTCTAATGTAGGGATCTATGTTCATTTTGGTACTCAATTACATATTGAAAGATTTCTTAACTCATTAAATACTGATTGATTGCTGGGTCCATGCTAAACATATCCGATTGGAAGGAAGGACACAGTAACACTTCAAATGTTCCCTGTCTTTAAAAAGAAAAAAGTTTCATTCAGGTTGATTGGATAATTGATTTTGTTGCCATTCAGATATCTTATATAAAGAAATGTCAAGGAGCAGCTATCAGGTATCCAAGTAGCTACCAGAATGCTATATATATGTTTATCACTTACATACCTGCAGTGAATTATTCCCTCCTAAATTATAGTGCTAATGGAATGTTGCTAATCTAACACACAGTAGAAAAGCAAGGGAGTGGGGCCCTGGGTGGCTCGGTTCATTGAATGTCTGACTCTTGGTTTCAGCTCAGGTCATGATCCCAGAGCTGTAGGATCGAGCACCATGTGGGGCTGTGTGTGAATGTGGAGACTGCTTAAGATTCTCTCTCTCTCTCTCTCTCTCTCTCTTTCCCTCCCTCTCTCCTTCCCTCCCTTCTTCCCTCAGTCCCTCTCCTCTCCCCTACTCATTCATGCTCTTTCTCTCTCTCTCTCTTTAAAATTAAAAAAAAAATAATAAGCAAGAGAGTATCAGAAGTAAAACCAAGAGGCAAGAGAAATATTCTTAAAAATAAATCAATTATTAGGCTCTTGATTGGTCCTTCAGTATTTGCTATAACTAGTCTACTACTTCACATAAAAGGTTACCTAAATAAGACTTAAAATCTTCCATCTTCCATTGCACAGAAAATAAAGTCATTAAATTAACTGGAATTAAGAAAATATATATATTTGAAATTTATGGCTCCTAACAACTCATATAATCAATCAGAAAAAGAAAAAATTGAAAGAAACCACATTAGAGTAAACCCCCTCCCCCAACCATACACACATTTACTGAGTACCTGTTACGCACAGGTGCATGTCAGTAGCCTCTTTACACACACATGTACACATGTTATTGTACTCAGGTTCTGTTAACTTCAGTTTATAGATGCGAGTTATATGCCATTCCTCTGTCTATGGTTACTTATTCCTTTTCAGATAAAGTGTAAGTCCTTCATGGGTAGGAATGATGTCACCAAGATGGCAACATAGGTGTTCCTGACTTTGCCACTCCACACAAGAAGAAGAATTAAGAACTATTCAAGAACAAGATAGCATTGAGAGAGTCCTACAACATGGGAATGGAGCATTTCCTGCACCAGAGACCCAGAAAACCTGCAATGGAAAAGTAAGAAAAGTGGCTGCACATTGACCACATTGTCCCTCCCCCAAGGCCACTTCAGCACCACACAGAGAGGTCTCTCCTGAACCCCTGCCTCCTTCAGTAGGACACACAAGCCACGGTGGACTCCAGCAACCCCACCTCCAGCACTGTGGGTCACCCAAGGGAGCCCCTAGTCTGATCTCACACTACAGGGAGACAGAGTTCACATCTGCCATGTCCAAGGAGTACCCAAACCAGTGGTTTTGCTCACCTGCAGAGCCAAGACAGGAGTGCACATACTCTGACCAGGGAACTCAGCAGGGTGCAGAATTCCCTAATTTGGATCCTCAAATGAGGAGTTTTGCTGCCTAGAATCCAGCTGCGTATAAGAGACTCACTTTAGTCTCAAAGACTCACATAGATTGGGAATGACAAGATGGAAAAAGACACTGCAAGCAAATGATTTAAAAAAAAAAAAAAAGCAGAGGTGGGTGCCTAGGTGGCTTAGTTGGTTAAGCATCTAGACTTTTGATCTCAGCTCAGGTCTTGATCTCAGCATTGTGAGGTCAAGCACCTCATTGGGCTTCACGCTGGGTGTGAAGCCTACTTAAAAAAAAAAGGCAGGGGTGGCCACACTTAGGCAAAATAGACTTTAACAATAGTAAAGAGAAAAAAAGTCCTGGTATAATGTGAAAGAGGACAATACACGAAGAAGATAAAAAAAAACTATAAATATTTATGCATTCAACTTTTGAGGTCACAAATATATAAAGCAAAAACTAACAGAGCAAAAGGAGAAATAAACCATAATATGGTAATGGTTGGGGACGTCAATACCCCAGCATCAACAATGGATAGATCATCTAGACAGAAAATCAATAAGGAATCAGTGGACATGAACAACACTATGGTCAAAATGGACCTAACAGGTATATACAGAATACTCTATCTAACAATAGCAGAGTACACATTCTGTTTCAAGAAGAAACAGATACTCTGACTAGACCAATTACTAGTAAGGAAAATGAATCGGTAGTCAAAAATAGTCAAAAATCTTTCAATGGAGGGGCGTCTGGGGCTCTGTTGGTTGAGCATCCATCTCTTTATTACAATTTTGTAAAAGTTTTATTTATTTCTGAAAGAGAGAGCAAGAGAGAGCGAGCGTGAGCAGGGGAGGGTCAGAGAGAGAGGGAGATACAGAATCTGAAACAGGTTCCAGGCTCTGAGCTAGCTGTCAGCACAGAGCCCGAGGCAGGGCTTGAACCCACAAACCGTGAGATCATGACCTGAGCTGAAATAAAGAGATGGAGGGGCACCTAGGTAGCTCAGGTGGTTAAGCATCAGACTTCGGCTCAGGTCATGATCTCACGGTTTGTGGGTTCGAACCCTGCATCGGGCTCTATGCTGACAATGTAGAGCCTTCTTGGGCTCTCTCTCTCTCTGCCCCTACTCCTGCTCACACTCTCTCTCTCAAAATAAACAAACATTTTAAAAAATCTCTCAAAGGAGAAAAACCCAAGACTAGAAACTGTTAGATCTAATCAATAAATTCAGTGAAGTTGCAAGATACAAAATTAACATACAAAAATCAGTAGTGTTTCTATATGCTAAGAACGAATCTTCTGATAAAACAATAAACAAATCAATCTCATTTACAATAACATCAAAAACAATAAAATATTTAGGAATAAATTTAACTCAAGGAGATAAAATATTTCTACTCTGAAAACTACAAGACAATGACAAAAAAATTGAAGATGCAAATAAGTGGAAAGGTATCCTGTGTTCAATGATTAGAAGAATGTCAACACTATCAAAAGCAACCTATAGAGTCAATGTAATCCCCACCAAGATTCCAATGGCATTTATTATGGAAGTCAAAAAACACTCACAAAAGACCCTGAATTGCCAAAGAAATCATGAGAAAGGACAAAGCCAGAGCTGTTACACTTCCTAATTTCGAGCTATACTATAAAGCCACTGTCATCAAAACAGATTCACATTAAAACAGACAAATACATTAATGGAACAGAATCAAGAGCCTAGAAATAAACTCACACATAGATAGTTGACTAATATTTGACAAGGAAGCAAAGAACTCAGTGGAGCAGAGACAATCTCTTCAATCAATGGTGCCAGCATAATTTGATATTCACATGTAAAAGAATGAAACTGGACCCATGTATTACATCACTCACAAAAATTAACTTAAAATGGATTAGACTTAAATGTAATTCCTGAAACCATGAAAGTATAGGAATAGGGGTCCTTGACACGGATCTTAGCAACTATTTTTTGGATAGGACACCAAAAGCATCATAAACAAAAAACAAGTGGGACTACATCAAACTTAAATGTTTTTGCACAGCAAAAGAAATCATGAATAAAGTGAAAAGACAACCTATAATATGAGAAAAATATCTGCAAACTGTGTACCTGACAAGGGGTTCATATCCAAAACATATAAAGAACTCATGCAACATACCAAATTGCTACATTGTACACCTGAAACTGATGTAACACTGTATGTCATCTATATGCAAATTAAAAAAATGTTTTTAATGGTCAAAGGACTTGCAAGAACACTTCTTCAAATATATACATATATGAAAGGCAAACAGAAACATGAAAAGATTCTCAATATAATCATCAGGTAAATGCAAATTAAAGCCACAATAATCTATCACCTATAATCTGTCAGAGTGGCCATTATCCAGAAAAACAAAAACAAAAACACAAGACAGCAAATGCTGGTGTGGTTGTGAAGAAAGAAAACCCTATTGGTAGGATTGTAAAGTGCCTCAGCCACTATGGAAAATAGTATGGGATAATGTTCAAAAAATAAAAAGCAGAACTATGAGAGGATCCAGCAATTCCACTTCTGGGAATATATCCAAAGAAAATAAAAACAGTAACTCAAAAAGATACCTGCACCCCCCATGCTCATAGCAGCAGTATTTAAAATAGCCAAGACATAGAAACAACCTAAGTGTCTACTGGTGGATAAATGGATAAAGAAGTTGTGGTATACTTATACAATGGAATATTATTCAGCCATAAAAAGCAAGGAAATTTTACCATTTGCAGCAACACAGAAGGACCTTGAGGGTATCATGTTAAGTGAAATAAGTCAAACAGAAAAAAATAAATACTATATGATATCCCTTACATGTGGAATGTTAAAAAAAAAAAAAAAAACTCATAGAAAAGGACAGAAAAAGAGAACAGACTTGTGGTTTCTAGGGTTACAGGGTGGGGGAAGGGAAACTGTAGGAAAATGGTCAAGTGGTAAAAAGGTACAAACTTCCATTACAAGGGAGATAAGTACGAGGGAAGTGATGCACAACATGATGACTATAGCTAACACTGTGCTGTATGATATACAAGGAAAGTTGCTGAGAGTAAATCCTATGTGTTCTCCTCATAAGAAAAAAAATTTTTTTCTTTCTTTTTTTTTAATTCTGTCTATATGAGAAGATGGATGTTGGCTGAACCTATTCTGGTAATCATGTCACAATATATGTAAATCAAATCATCATGCTTTTTAAAAAATTTTTTATAGTTTATTTATTTTTGAGACAGAGAGAGACAGAGTATGAGTGGGGGAGCGGCAGAGAGAGAAAGAGAGACAGAATCTGAAACAGGCTCCAGGCTCTGAGCTGCCAGCACAGAGCCCAACGCGGGGCTTGAACCCAGGACTGTGATATCATGACATGAGCCGAAGTTGGACGCTTAACTGACTGAGCCACCCAGGTGCCTCCAAATCATCATGCTTTAAACTTGTACAGTGATGTATGTTAATTATTTCCCAATAAAACTTTAAAAGAAATTCCTTCATGGGACTTAGCAAAGCCCTTCATACTCCCATTTTCTCCACACTGATCTCTTGCCACTCCAGACTCTAGTCCAGCCTATACCAAATACTTTTCGTTCCCAGATGGCCTCATATTCTCTCAGTGGAGTACCTGCTTTATAAGTCAGTCACTGTATTCATCACTTTATACTTTAGTTGTTAGTTTACTTTTTGAATCCTCCACTAAATATATGCTCTTCGGAAGCCAGGATTGTATTTTCCTGTTTCATAGAATTAGCCACTAGTATACAGTAGTACTATATAAACTTGATGGATGGGTGGATGATAAGTGAAGGAAGGAAGGAATATATTAAAGAATAAATCAATGAACCAAGAGGAAGCTTTCATTAGAAACAAAACTGGTTTTTGAAGTTTTCTTAGAAAATAGGGAGTGAGAGCTAAGAGGGTTGGATCATCAAAAAGCATCACCTGAGATCCTAATGCTCCACGCCCAACCCAGATAGGTACTCCCATCTTTCAATCCCTTCTCACATCCTTAAAAAAAATCACTCCCAGGGAGAACTACTGTTACCAGTGGGTAATATTCTTCAGGAAATTGGCAGAGTGGGGGCTGAACCACCGACTTACCATTATTACGTTACATTACATTTATGGCTATCAGTCTGCCTCATTTTTAGATAAGCTGACACACCTATCTTCATTAAAGGAATTCCCTTCCAAACCAAAAAGTGGAGTTGGCTAGTCAGCATACACCCTTCGTAGACAGTATTAAAGACATATCAACAAGAATTGATTTTGGCTTACATTTTTATATTCTCCCTACAAACCACTGTCCTTCAGTTAATGTATCCATTTGTCAGAGTCAAGTTACAACCAAATTAACTGGATTATAGCTTTCCTTAGTGATATATATTCCAGGTCTGAGGATAAATTCTGTTTTCCTTGACGGGACTTGAATGTCTTCCAAATTTGTCAAGCAACACATCTAACTTATGACTGAATATTTCTGCAGAAGACCATGTTTATTTCTTTAATACTGATTTCTACTTTTTTAGCAACTTGATGATTTTTCTGGACCTTATCCACAAATTTCAAGGGTCCTCTGTATAATCACTACATGCACCAAGAGTAAATTAGGGGCACCTCGGTGGCTCAACTGGTTAAGTGTCCAACTCTTGGTTTAGGTTCGGGTCATGATCTTGCAGTTTGAGAGGATGAGCCCTGCATTGGGCTCTGCACTGGCAGCACAAAGCCTGCTTGGGATTCTCTCTCTCCTTCTCTCTCTCCCGTCCCCAACTCATGATCTTTCAAAACAAATAAATAAAACTTTTTTTAAAAATAAATTTGGTGGCTTGGTCGGTTAGCATCTGACTTCAGCTCAGGTCATGATCTCTTGGTTTGTTAGTTCGAGCCACATCAGGCTCTCTGCTGTCAGTACAGAGTCTGCTTCGGATCCTCTGTTTCCCTCTCTCTGTCCCTCCCCTGCTCGTGTGCTCTCTTTCTTAAAAATAAATAAACATATATTTAAAAAAAAGTAAATTAAAGAGGGGTGCTTGGCTGGCTCAGTTGGTTAAGCGTCTGACTCTTCGTTTTGGCTTAGGTCATGATCTCATGATTCATGAGATCCAGTCCCACATCAGGCCCAGCACGGACAGCACAGAGCCTCCTTGGGATTCTCTCTTTCCTGCTCTCTCTGCTCCTCCCCTGCTCATACTCTCTCTCTCCCTCTCTCAAAATAAATAAACTTTTTAAAAAAAGAGTAAATTAAAGAACATCCTCTTATATAACAAGTTTAAACAGTTATTAATAGATTCTCCCATTAAAAATAATATATGATTAGCACTATAATGTATAGGTCTACAAAATTAATGTGGCTTTCATGATTTAGCAGCTGCACACAATGAATCTAAGCAGTCATGATTTCTGTTTTCAGAGCTTTACAGTGTAATAAATACAATAATAATTATTTGAATAGATTTGATTCATAAAATACCTTCCTGTATGTTAATAATCCTTCAAACATTCCTATAAATGAGTTCCTATGACCAAGTAAAAAATAAAAGCACTGTGACATGAGTGACTCATTCAAGAGCACATACCTAAGAGTGAGGGCAAAGTAAGAGCTAGAGACAGGATTCAAACTCAGGCTTCTAAATGCTCTGGAATTTGTGGCAATAGCTGCACAACTCTGTGCGTATGCTAAAAATCAGTGGAGGTGCACCTGGGTGGCTCAGTGGGTTAAGCGTCCAACTCTGAATTTTGACTCAGGTCATGATTTCATGGTCCATGGGTTCAAGCCCCATGTCAGGCTCTGTGCTAATAGCTCAGAGCCTGGAGCCTGCTTCAGATTCTGGGTCTCCCTCTCTCTCTGCTCTTCCCCTGCTCACATTCTCTCTCTCTCTTTCTAAAATAAATAAATAAACAAATAAATAAATAAATAAATACACTTTATTACACTTTAAAGTGGTATTACACTTTAAAGTGGTAAATTTTATGGAAAATGAATTATACCTCAATTTTAAAGAAAAAAATAGGGAGGTCTGTATTTCTGAGATGGTATGATATTCAAAACCCATTAAATAAAAAAGAAAGGTACAGAAGAGTGTGCATAGTAAGCTGTTATCTGGCTAAAAAAAATAACGTACACACATACTCAGGCTTTGTAGGCATAAGATCTCTGACAGAATACACAGGCAACCAGTAACTTGATTTCCTAAAGGGAGAGAAGCTGGGGTGGCTGAGGGAAGAGGCTGTCCTGGAAGGGAAACCTACCTTTCAATATACCCTTTTGTACTTTTGAAATCTGTGCAGAGTGCAAGGATTACCACTTTGAATCTTTTTTAATTTAAAAGGAATACTCTGATGCTTTATCTTTAGTCTTAAGGTTTATATTAAAATATCATTTTCATTTTCTCCTATAATAAATTTAATATATATCAAAACTCTAACACCTGAATCTTCTATTTTTTTTAAATGTTTTTATTTCTGAGAGAGAGAGAGACAGCGTGAGCAGGGGAGGGTCAGAGAGAGGGAGGTACAGAATCTGAAGCAGGCTCCAGGCTCTGAGCTGTCAACACAGAACCCGACGTGGGGCTCGAACCCACGAACCATGAGATCATGATCTGAGCCGAAGTAGGACGATTAACCAAGTGAGCCACCCAGATGCCCCTAACACCTGAATCTTCTAACTACAAAAAATACAATATTATTTACAGTATGATTTGGCTGCGTTGACTCAGAGACAAAGTATCTTAACTCTGCAGGAAAAATAAAGTCAAAAATTCAGCCAGAAAGTCAAAGATCATAAAGCATCTATATCATTTAACGTAGTGTTCTGACTGCCACACTTTCTAAGCTTATAATTAGGGTATAACTGTTCATTTACTCTTTAACTTATTTTTTTCTGTTTAATAATAACATTTCTTTCCTGTGGCCACAGTTCTCTTGCCTGCCTTCCTAAGTTCTATGGTGAATGCTCCTAGAACAGGAGGCAATTTTTGCCCAGATTCCCTGAGAATATTCTGCATTTGACCATTCTAAGGACATCGGTTAGATTTTCTGGTTGCCTTCCCACCTAATTCTTACACTGATTTTCTGAAGTAGCAAATATCTTGCAATGTTACTTGTAGACTCTTGATTTTTAATTGATCCATTTCTTGTGTATTCTGCTTCACACTCTGCCAAGCTGCTGACTTTATAACTGAATAAGAAATTTTCGATTTTACTGACCACATGGCACTGAGCAACAGACTCCGTTTCAAACCATTTGGGTATCTTTAGTTATCTAGTGGGGTGATGGGTTTTTATCCTTCCTTGCTTTGTGAAACACACTTAAGTATATCGGAAGCATATAATTCAAATGAAATGTCTGAGATCTAAAGACAAAAATCACAGTTTATTTTCATATCTGAAATCTAGAATTCAGAAACAAAGAAACAAGGATTGTTACCAAAGAAATAATCACTGTACCTGAACTTAAGTTCTCAAGAAAGCACAGTGAATGTGTGCAAAGTTAAAAACAAAGGCTATTTTAGGGAGAGTTTAAATATTCAGTATAAGGGCTCTGGGAAGTAGTGTGCCGAGAAAGAACACGGAAGATGGTAGGCTGTAACACAGATTTCCAGACTGAATTCTGCTTTCATCTCTTCCTGTGGTGAATCACACCAATAGGTTTTCTAATATTAAACCCACTTACCTTAGTTATGATGTATTATCTCTTTTGTATACTATCAGATTTGATTTGTTAACATTTTATGTAGAAGTATGTCCTCTATGAAGGTCTAAAACTTTTTTAAAACTTCATAGGGAGCTAAGGTATAAGCAGAACTACTATAAAATTTTTTAGAATTATAGGATATCCGAAAGAAAAATATGAGTGAATAATGTTGAATGGCATATAAGATTATCAAAATGTAAATATATTTACCATTTAATTTTTACCACTATTAAACATTTTTTAATTAAGCTGATTTACTTGTAAGCTCTTAGACAAGAAAAGATCACTGGCATTGTCTCAAACCAGTTTAAAGAAACTGAAAGGCAGACAAGAAATCAGGATTAGGCTTCATTAAAAAAAAAAAACCCAAAAAACAAAAAAAACAATAAAACCCATACAACTATATAAAGCTGTTTATTTCTACCCTTAAGCTTTGTGTTGTAATGAAAATAATCCAGAACATTAAAATTGAAAGAAAAAAAGTACATACCTGTCTTCTGTACTCTAAAAGAGAGTCATATAGCTTCCACCCATTTTCAGGGAATACTTCTTTGTATTCAAAAGCAAAAAGAGGCTACAAAACAGTAAATAGAGTTAATAGCAATAACAACAAAAAAAGACATTTAAGGAGGTAATGAATCAGAAACATATCCTTATCATACCCAAAGTTTTCATTTACTCATTTACTCATTTACAAATGAGGATATTTTGTATTGGTGTCATTTTTTTATATTGCTATTTTAGCTCTTGTTTTACAATTTTGAAAATATATTGTTTTTTCATATTTTTCAAACATATTGAGAAGCACAGAGGCCCACCACCAAGATTTATCAAATGTTAACATATCACCACATTTCCTTCAGATATCAGCTGCTTAGGTCTTCTTCTAAATAATGAAAGACTTTACATAACAAAAGACATCTTCTGATATAATTAATCAGTTTGACATCCAAGATGTCAGCAGTTAAACAGCTGAAGTTTATGCTACATTTTCTAAACATACTGAACCTATTATTTCTTGGCATACAATCGGTATACCGAAAAAGACATCTTATCACTTAAATAGAATGACAGAAACAACTATGATGAAAAACATTCAAAGGGAGAGTCAAAAGACCAGTATTACTCCCTACTAGCTGTGCCCTGGAGTTAACTGCCTACCTGATCCTGGTTTCAACTCCAAAATAGGGATAAATAATATTTGCCACCCACCATGGGGCTACTGTGGAAGCTGGATTTAAAATATAAACGAGGGAGCCTAACATCATGACTAGCAGACAGCAGGAGCTCAGTTAAGTATTTGTCCACTCTTTCCTCCTAAAATTGCTGGACTCAACTCTCAGCTACTAATTAAAAAGGGAGATTTCAGGGACGCCTATGTGGCTCAGTCAGTCAACCGTCTGACTTGATTTTGGCTGAGGTCATGATCTCACAGTTCGTGAGACTGAGCCCCATACTGGGCTCTGTGCTGACAGCATAGAGCCTGCTTGGGATTCTCTCTCCCCCTCTCTCTGTCCTTCCTCACCCCTCAAAATAAATAAATAAACCAAAAAAAAAAAAAAAAAAAAAAGATTTAAAATCCTAATGAAGACCACAGAGAGCTTTTCATCATGGAAATGCCCTGGATGGAAAGATCACATAATTATAGAACGTCAGTGGGTAGAAAAGGACCTCAGAAATCAGCTAGTCCAGCTTCCTTATTTGCTACAAAAAAAGAACTGTTCCAAGAGATTGGCTTAAACTTAAATTATGCATTTGGTTTAATGGCAAAGTAGGATCGTAAATGTATTTTCTAGGAAGCTTAGACAAGTTTCTTTATAGTACAACAAAAATTATAATACACACTTTCCAAAGATAAAAAAACAAACATCTTACCAGGTTATTAGAGACAGGAAATGCATATTTCATTAGATTCTCAAATATGGATCTTCTTGTCCGCCCTTCAGGTTTATGAGCAAACCGTAAGTTCCGAATATCCTAGAAAAAAATTAGGACCCCAGTCATCTATAACTGTTCACCTTTTTTTGAATGAACACACAAGGTAACTTGGAACTATCTTGTAAAATGTTAAGACCTGTGAATGTGGGATACAGAAATAGGACAACAGCTCCTAAAGGCAGGAAAGTCACAATGCCTTACTGAAAGAAATATTCAAAACCACAAGGTACTCTAATCTCTATGCTATTGTGTCTACTCATCAATTTTTTAAAGTTCTTTAATAATGTGTATAACTTTGTCCACATAGTTCTTGTACATCCTTTATTTTATTTGGAGGATAGAAATTTTTATGTCTGCCTAGTTACTCAAGATAAGCCAGTAAAGGAGAGAGCTTCTGATGCAGGCACTAGAGATGAAACATAATATATCTGAAACTTACTATGACTGATACACAGCTCAGCATATGTCCTTCCCCTGTGAAAGCCCATTTTCTGTCAACATTTCCCTATTAAAAACCTGATTAGCTCTTGTTATATTTCATAAGTATCTTCATTCCCATTATTCCTGGTGATGATTTTCCTATTTATGATCCCTTCCCAGAAATCATTTTCATTGGATCCTTGTAAGCTTCCTGCTACTAGACTGATAAAATCAAACACTGCCTAAATCTCTTTGTCTACTCCATGTCCAAGTTCTTTAACCATCTCCTAGCAAATATATCCTCAATTGTTTGGTTGATATCATGCAGGCTCTAAAGTCAGATCTAAAAACCAAGGAGGCTCCCTTTTCTGTTATTTGTCCTTAAGCAGTTTTCTGTGCTCAGGCTGAATATAGATATTCGTGTTCTGGTTTACTGGCATCTTAACTGCACTAAGAAAAACTTGGGGATTAAGAATAATTTCAAGACAATCCATTTTACCTTGGTGTTTTAATCTGGCAGAATTAAAAATATACCCCATTCTGTAAAACTGAATACAGATACACTGCAGTACAATGCACTTGCAGTACATGAACGAGCAGAACATTTTATTACAAATCAAGCCCAAAACTAGGATGCTATCTCTACCATGTTTAAAAACAAGTACGTGTGGAAATCTAAGCTGATACCTTGTTTTACTTCAGTAAAGATCTTTACCACTAGTAGAGATATTGAGAATCACTCTGTCAATCACAGAGCTATCTACATGTACCACAGCAGGGACACTACAAATTTACTGTAAGATTACAGAAATGTGACCAGGAGACAATGTCCCTGACACATGGTTGAAAGCCAGTTCACTCTTAGAGCCCTTCTGACTACAGTGGAGAAGCATAAAAATAATTATTAGGTCACTACTTTTATTACTAGAATTACAAAACTTCTAAGAGCAGAGTAAGAAAGTAACTTGAAAGTTATGCAGGTACAATTGCTTTCACTTTTGGCACTGGCAGAAGAACCAAAGCAAAGTTAAGGTAATCCCGAATTGACGTGTTCACAGGTGATGGGGTGCCGGGGTGGCTCAGTCGGGGATGCGTCCGACTTCGGCTCAGGTCATGATCTTGCAGTTTGTGAGTTCGAGCCCCGTGTTGGGCTCTGTGTTGACAGGTCAGAGCCTGGAGCCTGCTTTGGATTTTGTGTCTCCCCCTTTCTCTGCCCCTCCCCAGCTCATGCTCTGTCTCTGTCTCTCAATAATAAACGTTAAAAAATAATAATAAAAACAAAAAAATGACATGTGCACAGGTGTTACTTAGGCCATATTGAGAATAGCAACCAAAGAAGTAGCACGTGGTATGAAATATCTATGACTGAACAGAATGATGAAAGTGTAAAAGTCTAACTTTCATTCAAGCATCAATGCATTTAAAAAATACAAGTTAGACATCGTCAGGGAAATTCAGGGGAATGCAGATCAAAACAAAAATGAGATGTCACCTCACACCTGTTAGAATGACTAAAATAAAAAACTCATGAAATAAGTGTTGGTGAGGATGTGGATAAAAAGGAACCCTCATGCACTGTTGGTGGGAATGCAAACTGATGCAGCCACAGCAAAGAAGGTATGAAAGCTCCTCAAAATTTTAAGTAGAACTACCTCAGATCATAATCGCATTACTGAGTATTTACCCAAAGAATACAAAAACACTAATTCAAATGGATATGCACCCCTATGTTTATTGACGCATTTTTTACAATAGCTAAACTATGGAAGCAGCCCGAGGTGTCCACTGGTAGATGAATGGATAAAGAAGAAGAGCTGTGTGTATGTATGTTGTGTGTCTATGTGTGTGTGTATACATACATTCAGCCTTAAAAAAGAACGAAATCTTGCCATTTGCAACAAACTGGATGGATCTACAGAGTATAATGCTAATAGAAATAAGCCAATCAGAGAAAAACAAACACCATATGATTTTACTCATACATAGAATTTAAGAAACAAAACAAATGAATAAAAGAGAGAGAGAGAGAGAGAAACAAACCAAAACAAAGCCTCTTAAGTGTGGAGAACAAGCACATGGTTCCCAGGGGGAGCTGGGAGGGTGGGAATGAGTTAAAAAGGTAAGGGAATTAAGAGTACACTTATCATCATGAGCACTGAGTAAAGTATGGAACTGCTGCATCCCTGTTTTGTCCATCTGAAACTAATATAACACTGTATGTTAACTACACTGGAATTAAAATTTTTTTAAATAGATAAACACAATAGGTAAATGCTCTGAGTTAGAGATTGTGGCAAAGGTAAATATGGTGAGGAAAATAAAACAGCCGATCGTGAGAGAAAAAAAAAAGAATAGGAGTTAGATAAGAAAATAGAGAAAGTCTACAATGTCAAGTTTTCCCCACCACTGTTCCTGAAGCAGAAAAACTGAGAACTGGAATAACAGGTGATGACGAATGCACCAGGGCCAGTTCTTCCACTCCGAAGGCACACCCCTACGCATCTGATTTGTAAATTAAAGGTAATCATTTCTATCATCCCTACTTCAGGATTTTCTGAGGCTAAACATGAAATAATCAATGTCAAAGTAGCTTGTATTGGGTCCAAAGGAATTCAAGACTAATTCATGAGAGAGCACCTTTTATTACTCCAAATCGTTTTTGTCTTCTTGATGATGTTCCAGTATGAAATCTATTTGACAGTTTGGAAACTAGCTTCTACACACAAGTTCCATTTAGCACAAAAGCTTTTCAAACCAAATAAAAAATTGCATAAATATTATAACATTTACCTTACACACAGTCTCTAGTCCATAAGAATTTTCACCTCGACTAGAAGCACCACCAATTTTTTCTACTCTACTTATTACACCAAGAGAGGCATCTAAAACAAATGGGGGATCCTAAAGGAAGGAAAGAAAACAGCAATTAAAACTGGGCAATTGATATAATGATCTGTATTAGAAATGCTTTAATTAAAAATGATCAAAAATGGACAAAACTACAAACCACACATAGAGGTACACATAAAAAATCTAGTCCAACCAGTCTTACCCGTTCCATGCTTTTAAAATATAACCTGTAATTCGTGACAGTCAGAGTCCCTCGTACAGCACCAGTGAACGGACATATATAAGTCACATCTTTGGCTGCAAAAGCAAAGAGTCCACAGTTTACCATACATTGTGCACTTTTAAAAACTGCACTCTCATTTTTTCACAAGTGAAATTTAATAAAATTCTCACTGCTATTCTAACCCGGGCTCAAAAATCACAGAATCAGTGTATCAAACAGGACTCAGAAGTCAAATCCAAGCTTCTGACCGCCCAGAAATCCCGGAGCGGATGCAGAGTAAGCGGAAGGACTGAGGAGGCAGAGACAACACCTGCCCTCAGACAGAAGAATAGGCTAGAGCTCTCCCTGCTGGATAATGTGTGTGTGGAAGTTGAAGTAGTGGCTGGAAGTTGAAGTAGTGGCTGAAAGTTGAAGTAGTGGCTGAAAGGACATAGTTATAGTGGTTAACAAATGGAAATGTCTCAAGCCACAGACACCAGTCATCGTAACAGTTTCTAGATCATCTTCCCAATCTGCTGTGCTTCTGGTCAGTCTAATTTGTCAACATTCCTCAGAAAACAGATCTGGAACACCGAATATCAGAAACTCCTGACCTGATTATATTTACGGGGAAAATATTGCAGGAGACATGCAACATATTTGAAATATAATTTCTTAGAAAAATAATAGTAGAATAAGAGGATATTGTATTTCTGACCAAGCAACTGATGTCAAACTTTGTAGAGAAATAATCACAAGCATTGTTCTATGACATGATTAATGATGAATCTATACAGCATTATGCTTTTTTAAATATCCATTAATGAAGCAAGATAACTTGCTAACACTAGCTCAAAATAATATTTAATATAGTAGAGTTCATAATGCCCACTATGAGCTTTTTCATATCTTAAAATATTCATAAATCCCTGCTATGTCATTATAGCAGCAAATGAGCAAACAAAGGAATATCTTCATCATTCCAAGAAAGTAAGGCACAACCAGCAGCAACAAATTGCAACAACTTTCCAAGGGAGTTCTGGGAGAACTTAGGGACATAAAATACGTATGAATATGGTATTGCAACCTCCTGACTTGGCTTTTTACTCACCACTTTGGAGGACTGAATGCTTTGTATGGAATCTGAAATGAGACTGACCTTACAACAAACATTTCTAACCTTCAAAATAGTTCCCTTGGGAATGTTCAAGTATGGCTACATTTTTTAAATCACTGTTCCTATGCATGCTTCATTTAGAGGAAAGCTTTTAAAATTAAATAAACCCATCATTAAGGAAAGATACATAAACTTGCCTTGCATACATTTTCTTGCCTTTAGAAAATTTTACCTCAACTAGAAAAGCTTTACTCAATGTTACCAAAACATTTCTGGATTCTTTCCAGAGTCAGTTTCCTTACTCACACAAGAAAATCAATCTCATTTTTCTATATGCTACTATAAGATATGTCCAATGTTTTTTGTTACACCTTACCCTGTATTCTAAAATCATGAATAAATTCATGAGAGTACTTCCAAAATTGGAAGTACTATACATACATAAGGCTCTGCTTTGTTCTGCGCCATTTATCCTTCTTCCTCAGGCTGGTGGCAGCTATGTCACACTGATAAGAGAATTTATGCTTAGCAAGGTCTGTATTAAGTAGATGAGAGCGTATGACCAGGAACCATTGCAGAGCAAATGACAATAGTAACAACCAGCATGGATGGCCTAGCACTCCAGAGTTTGTAAAGTATTTTTCACCTGAGTACTTCCTTTAACCTTCCTAACACACCTTGCATATAAGACCTATAATTACACCTACAAAGTTTAGATGAGAATACCAGGGCTCAGAAAATAGCCTCATGTTTCAGAACCAGTAACTAAGGTTAAGACTTGAATACACTCCCTCTGACTACAAATTCAAAATCTTTCCATCACGTCTTGCAAAGCTAAGCCACTAACATAGTGAGATCTGACTCCTGTGTTAGGGGTTGAAAGGCTGTAGTCTGGAGTTCTCTCTACTCCTGATACACCCAGGCCACAATACTCTGATATTGTTACCTCCTTAAAGCATTCTGCTGATGTTCCTAACACTACTCTAACTTTTAAAAAATTAAACTACAGATTTACATTAGACCAACTAAAAATCAAATGCCTTTTCTACATGAATTAACATATTATAGGTTATTCGAGCCTTACACTTCACATTAAACATATTTTTTGCACATAATCAAGTCTACATAGATTATTTTGAATCAGAAGATTTAATACATTAGGTATTCCTCTAAATTTTACAATACTAATACTACCTAGTGGTGCCAAAAGAGTTTAGATTTACTAAGCCTCTGAAATTTTCACTGAGTTCACAGAGGAAGGACTTTCTTCAAGGTGGACTAAAATGACCTTGAGGATACACATTATAAGGATATAAAATACATACAAATATATGAGAGCAGGTAATCTGTACAGAAAGAGAGGCACAAAAACATACTCTAAGTAATACACTGAAGGGGAAATCCATTCAGCCGGAGGATCAGTAAAGGTTCCAGGAACACAGGCATGTGAGTAGTGCCCCAGTGACAGGTAACCTTTAGATGGGCAGAGAGAGTGAGACGGCTCTCAATGCAGAGGAAGAATTGAACCCAAGATACAGAAGTGGAGAAAGAAAGTACTTATCTGGACAAAGGTAAATACACAATCTGGCTCACTCTCTACAGTGATACACTGTATCCCACTCTCCACTTGGCAATTTCCCTCCTGGGTTCCTCTTCTACAGGATTGTAAGCTGTTCACCGAAGCTATGTTCTTGGCTCCCTCCTCACAATATGCTCTCTGGGTTAATTCCCTTCTCTCATTTTCAACAAATATCTATGTTCTGATGATTCCACAATCTGGACTTCCAGTACTGAAATTTCTCTTAAGCTCCTAATATATCTCCGCATAATACCTTCAATGGAAGTTTCTCAAAGGTACCTGAAATTCAGTATATGTAAATATGACTCCAATGACTCAGGACAGTTGAGGGAAAAGGAGAAATTCAAGAAATTCTTAGAGACTGAGTCCTCTGGATCTCACTGGATATCAGAGTTCAGAAAAAAGGAGGAGTCTAGGATGATTTCTTGAGAGGTCTGCCTTGAGTGAATGGACAACAGGTGTTAGTATTAACAGAGGGAGAGAAGACAAGAAAAGGAGTAAAGTTAGGGATAAAGGTGATGATTTCAGTTTGGGAGATGTTCAGTATAAGGGACATCTATGGGACACCCAAGAGCATGTATCCAGCACACAGGCATTTGTTTATATGCATTAGGAGAGAAGTTCACATTAAAAATAACACATTTTAGAGTCATCAGTAAATATATGGTAGCTAGAGCTATGAACCTAGATATGGCCAACCAAAAAGAGCATGCAAGAGGGAAAAGGAAAATGGATCAAGGACAAAGTCCTATAAGAGCATCGCCTTTAAAGGAACAGAAGTCAACAAGAGATGGAGTGGTAACTTCAGAGTCTTTTATAAGGTTATTTATCACAGTGGAAATAGCATGTCCTTTAGGATCAGATGAGCAAAACACTGTCATAAGACTAGTTGTAACACCTGCTAGCTATGTAATCTCCTTATGCCTTAGTTTCCTCATCTGCAAAATGGGATGAATATCTTCCTCAGAAGATTGCTGTGAGGATGATTACATGAGACAGTGGGCCTTTGATAACGATAACCATTGTTATTATGTAACATCCAATGCTGATAAGACAGAGTACCTAACTCAGTAGCTCAGCAGAGCAAGAACTTAGGGCATACAGGAGGCTGAGTAGAGGGCAAAAAGGAAACAGGGGAGGTATTCAATCAAGAGTTAAAAGCAAAAAAACAAATATCTTGCCAAGTGCAAAGGAACTAAATGCACTGTAGGGCAAGCATTTTGGCCTTCTTATTTTTATACAGAGAATGACACCTGGCCAGGATAAATTAAACATTTATTAAGTCCTCTTTAAAATTATAATTGATAATAAAGTGAAAGGTGGTGTTTCTTTGGCTAGGAAACCATTTACTCTTCTAATTAATTACTTCTTATCACAAGAGCTACGGTATTTTCTGGATTACACACAAATGTAATATAGGAAAAGCATGAGGACAAAAAAAAAAATATCTTAAATGCTTGTCTCCAGTCCATACAATAAGTTAACGCTTAGTTCTTTAGGCTGCAAAGGAAAGCAACTACAGGCAAACAGCTTGCTTTGTGATGGAAATGAGATCTTTTAACACAAAACTTGATCTGAGTTTATTCAAGATAGAAAAAATAAAGGAAGCAGAAAGAATATGTTTTGAGAATTACTACTTGTACAAAGTGACAAGTCAATGTTTTCTCTAGGCAAACCAATATCTTACTGCAGTTATTCAAAATAATGAAGTTCCCTTTAAAAAATTCAGCGACAGTTAAAAAGAAAAAGGCACCTGCTTTCAGCGAATGTAAAGCTAACCAGAGAAGCAGCAGGATATAATTCAGCGTGTCTGTTTCACAGCAGTCCAAGCACAAACATGACCAGCATATGTAGCAGATCCAGGCTTACGGAACGCATCAAACGCTAAGACAGTTGGCAGTAATGAGCGCGGTCAGACATGAGGTGTCTTGGACAGTGAGCCTACTCTCTGCACACGGAGAGCACTGAACATTCTATATACTCAGGAAGGAGAAGGAAATTCAACAAAAAAATACCATTACACACCCATGTCTTTTATATTTTCTCCTGGAAGCAAGGGTGGTTCTTCCATTTCTGCTAATTTGTTAGATTCCCTCAGGACCTGGATTGGAAAGGGCAGGAGGGAGCAAGAAAAGAAACACGTTTTATTCAAAGGCCAATGTTTCACTCAAATTTCAATTGAGCATGCTTGCTCTTATTTAAAGTTGTAACACTGTATCACACACATTACTTTAAATCAAATTACAAACACTGTGGTGCTGACACATGTAACAGCGGAAGGTGCTGCTTTTCTACAGGGCATTTACTGAGTGCCTCCTTTGTAGAAGGCACCATACACAAACCAGCTTACGTGTTTTCTCAAAGAATCCCACAAGAGCCCTTTAGGTGGAGGTGTTATTATCCTCATTTCCCAGATGAGGGAAAAGAGGCCAAAAGTGACAATGAACTTCTTCAAGGCCACATAGCTAACAAGTCATAATCTAGATGTGAATCATAATTTAGTGGACTACGAAGCCCGTGTTCTTTCCATTAAACCACACCCAGGGGCCTTAGTGCATTTAAACTCAGATAAAATCGAGCTCTTATGTAAATTTAATGTTTAGAAAATTTGAAAATGATGGCAATAAAGTATCTTGTTGAAAAAGAGCTATTAGTAGATTACAATCACGACCAGCAACTGTCATTGAACAGTTACCTTATAAAGGATGCTACACTGGAATCCAAGAATGTACAGATACAGAAACACGGTTGTATAATGGGTCTCTAAAACAAGCAAGACACACACAAACACACACATACTGTCATATGCTAAACATAAATACATCCCCCTAGCTGTCACAGGCCTCCCCATCTCCACCTCTTTCACTACCAAACAATAATCTTAATTGTCTCCAATTTTTTAGCTCACATTAATTCCTCAACATCCTGTAATCAGCTTTGCTACCTAACCCAATCCTTCCAGGGAACCCACTTTCTTCCCAATAACTATCTTAAAGATAATAACAGTAATAATAATAATTATTACTATTAAAAGATAATGAACATTTCTCAGTCTATTTTTATCTCTTAACTACATTTGATCTTATCTACAAATTGCCTCTTTTTTAAATGTTTATTTATTTATTTTTAAGAAAGAGAGAGGGAGGGGCAGAGAGAGTGAGAGAGACAGAATCCCAAGCAGGCTCAGTGCTTTCAGAGCAGAGTCTGACTTAGGGTTCGAACCCATGAACCATAAGATCATGACTTAAGCCAAGATCAATAGTCAGATGCCCAACCAAGGCACCCAGGCACCCCAACTTGCCTGCTTCTTGAAAGCATACTATCCCGTTAAACTCTTCCTTCTCTGACCATTCTTTTTCAATAACCTTTAATTCCCTTTCCTGAACCTTCCCTGTTCCTCAGAGGTTTGTCCATACCGCACCTTACTCACTTCCTGATATCTCATATCTTATCTGTGGCTTCACCTAACTTCTATCTACAATGCCAGCTTGGATTTTTCTTGGACTGGTTCCATTCAACCAACTGCTAATCTTCCTCCCCGTCCAGACATCCCCCAGACACCATGAACTCCATAGATCTCAAGTTAACCTGTGTCCATACTTTGCAAATGAAACCAGCATCTATTTGGTTGTCTAAGCCACATCTGGGAGAGGGGTGAGCAGTGGTCTCTGTGCAAAATCATGCCTTCTGCTTCAACCTTGACTTGTTTCATTAGACTAAGAACCACTATCATTAGAAAAAAGATTCCCAAACACTTTTTAAGTAGTTTTTGACTTTTATTTCCTTCAGTCCAAAAAGCAGAAACTAAAAAGGAAGAGAAAACAAGGTACTGCTGGTACTTTAAAGGTCACCTTCTGCAGACCCTCATACTCGCTCAGGGCTCTCCTATGCATGAACTCCTATTTGGCATATGCCACACAATCTAACTGCTTATCTGCTTTCCTGCTACCAGACTCTGAGAGAAAAGGTGCCATATCTTATACACTCTGAATACCTAACAGAAATATAACATGTGCCATATATGTAATTTTAAGTTTTCTAGTAGTCACATAAAAAAAGTAAAAAGAGGGGCACCTGGGTGGCTCAGCTGGTTAAGTGTCCGACTCTTGCTCAGGTCATGATCTCACAGCTCATGAGTTCGAGCCCCATGATGGGCTCTGTGCTGACAGCCCAGAACCTGGAGCCTCCTTTGAATTCTGTGTCTCTGTCTCTCTTTTCTCTCTCTCTCTCTCTCCTCCCTTCCTCCCTCTCTCCCTCCCTCAAAAATAAATAACATAAAAGATTTTTTTAAATAAAAGGGAACAGGCAAAACTAGTTTTAAATATCTTTTATTTAATCAAATAAAAATTATTGCCATTTCAGCATGTAATAAATATTTTTAAAAGTAGTAATGAGACATTTTATATTCTTTTATTTATAATTCTTTTACTCAAAATACACTCTACAGTGTATTTTATACTTATAGCATACCTCAATCCAGACCAGCTACATTTCAATCAGCCGTATTTCTAGTGGTACCCATCCTGATCAGTACTAACCTAATGAATCTATTCTTCCTGATGATCAAGTCATTCTTTAGGTGCTTAGGGAGTTAGGTGCTTAGGGAGGATTAGAAAATGCTCGCCTAAGGCCAATAATGCAGGAACCACAAAGAACAAATCTGTTTAATAAACCTATAATCTAAACAAATTAATATTATACTTTTGAAAGTTGAACAATTTGTTTCATAAAGTAACCTTTTTTTAAAAAATGTTTATTTTTGAGAAAGACAGAGCACAAGTGGGGTGGGGGCACAAAGAGAGGGAGACACAGAATTCGAAGCAAGGTCCAGGCTCTGATCTGTTGGCACAGAGCCCTATGTGGGGCTCGAACACATGAGCTGTGAGATCATGACCTGAGCTGAAGTCGGATGCTCAACTGACTGAGCCACCCAGGCACTCCTGTTTCATAAAGTAAACTTAATGCAATACCTAAAGAACTAAAATATATATACACACACATATAATTTTTTATATGCCACATTCTATAACTCATAAAAGGTCATATTTTTTAATGACATCCAGTTCCTGGTATAGTATTTCATGAAACCTTAAAAAAAAAAGGAAAGAATGAAGAGAGAAGGAAGGAGAGATGAAGGATGAGCCTATGAAGAAGCAGAAAACGAGGATAAAAACTTGCAATATGCAAATATATAGACTTCCTGGGTTCAAATCCTGACCATGCCACATGCTAACTAGGAACTCTTGGGCAGAGTGTTCGACTCCTCTATGCCTCATTTTTCCCATCTATAAAGTGGTAATAGTCATAGTACCCCACAAAAATATTACATGAGTTAATACATTTAAAACATTTATACCAGTGTTGACATAAGTATTTTCTATTAATCATCATAATAAAAGTTCAGACTAACAACTGATAACTGGAATCTGGCAAGAATTTCTACTGATTATGAAAACAACAGAACTGGATTGAAAGATACAAGTAATAACTAGCCCACAGTATACAAAAAAACAAAAATCAAACATGCTACATATGTGAAAGATCACATGAAATGCTTTATCCTTGGCCCATCATCTACCACCTGACTTGGAAATACAAAGATCATGTCAATTACAAAGTTGGGCAACAGATGCTATACTACACAGGTATACATCCCTGTAGCTGCTACAGTATTATTCCCATGACTTACTCTCCCTATATTTCTACACTCAGAAGAGCACTGCAAACCTCAGAAAATGTGTGTTTTAAACAGAGTATACAGGAAGGCAGTTGTGGCACAAACACACACAGTAGTACAGGGAGTGCAAGGTTCATAAGTAAAGCTTTCTCAGGTAAGAGGAGAGATGGGGAACCACATGAGCAGTGCATGTTGAGAGTCACAGACTCTCTCATTCTTGCTCTGACCAGAATGTCCGAGAGCAAGGCAACGAAGAGAAGCATATCAAGATCCCATTATCTGCCCAGAAAAGCTGCCCCCAGATGACAGACTTGTAACAGTAGGCATGCCCTAGAGGATATACAAAAACAACTCACTTTAGAGCTGAAGATATAAAAAGGAACTCAAATGAACAAAGCAGGGCCATGGGCAATCCAGACCCTTTGTTGGCAAACAAGGATTATGAACAAATCTACCCTTAAATAGAAGAGAAACAACAGGGCCTAGTTTAAAAAAAAAAAAAAAAAAAAAAGGATTATTTGACAAGGACAAGGAATACCAGCCTGAGGCTCAACAAAAAACTAGTCTTCTGAAAAGAACTCCCTTAGGCATTAGCAGAAACATTTATAAGCTATTTGGTATACTCAAAAAGAAATCAACCATGTTCCCTAAGAAATAAAAACAGAAAGACATAAGAACATACAGAGACTAAGAGAAATGTGTAAGATAAAGAATGACTGCAAAAATTAAAAATACAGCAACAAAATTTGTGTTGGGAATAATAAAGAACTGAGTTGATTGTTCAGAAAACAGCATTTATGTTGAGGGCAAACATCAAAACTGCTCTAAGATTCTGTAGGAAAAAACAGATACAAGTTGATAAAGTACCAATAAAAGAATTCTACTTCCTGAAGGAAAAAAAATCAAGACAGAATAGGAGCAATAATCCAATATACAAGTGAAGAACATGCTTCTGAAATGAATACAGGTTTTCTAAGTTTGTTGATCAAAATAATTTATCATGTTCTACATAAAGGTTAATGAGAAAGAGGACATCCAGATGGCCAACAGAACACATGAAAACAATGCTCAGCATCCCCTCCTCATCAGGGAAATACAAATCTAAACCACACTGAGATACCACCTCATGCCAGTCAGAGTGACTAAAAGGAACAAATCAGGAGACTCTAGATGCTGGTGAGGATGTGGAGAAATGGGAACCCTCTCACACTGTTGGTGGGAACGCAAACTGGTGCGACCGCTCTAGAAAACAGTGTGGAGGTTCCTCAAAAACTTACAATAGAATTCCCCTATGACCCAGCAATAGCACTGCTAGGAATTTACCCAAGGGATACAGGAGTGCTGATGCATAGGGGCACATGTACCCCAATATTCATAGCAGCAGTCTCAACAATAGCCAAAACATGGAAAGACTTAGGTGTCCA